TATATATAGAGATAGATATAAACATATACATATACATATACATACATACATATATATATATATATATATATATATATGTCGATCCACCACGAGAGTAAAATTTAACTATGCGATATTTTGTTTATACCTACAATATGTTTATATAGCTATATGTAGACATATCTTTGGTCCCAAATCTGCTCCATAAGCAATATGCAACTTATTTGCTCAGTCTTTGAGGAATCCATTTTTTTCTTCGAGTCTATCTATCAACCTTTACAGTTCTTGCCAACCTTCCTCTAGTTAATCTCATACATGCTAACCTTTAGTCACGTCCACCCCTCAGTACCCTTAATCGCGAGACTGGCGTCATACGATCGTAGGCTGGAGATCTGCGAAATGGCTGTGCGGTTGACTCAGCGCTTCTGCCACTCTAGGCTGACCCGCAGGTAGTACGCTTTTGTTACGCTTTTGTGGGTAAACATAATGCTCCACTGTGTGTGTGTGTGTGTGTGTGTGTGTGTGTATGCACGCCCGTACACATATGTGTGCTTAGGAGAAGCCAACTGTGTATGTGTCGAAGGTTGGCAATCCGTTTAACCATATCAGTGCCACAATTTCACATCGACTCAAATATAAATCTCGACTATTGATTACCAATCAAAAACCTTCTATTAATAGAACTCACTTTACTTTCCGTAGGCACGGTCTGGCGCTCAGTTCGGTCTTCAGCAACACAAACACACTGGCCAACAGAACGGCGATAAGTGACTCAGAGTATATACTAGGTGGATTTGCCAAGCGCTTGCTGGCACCTGAACTCTCGGCCGTGTGGGCCTCCCCCGCGGAAAAGCAGGTACGTCTGTCTTTAGGGGTTTATGATGAAGCAGTTTAAGCATAGACTTTTGTTGTATATGTCTAATTTGAAGTTTAAGAATAGTCTTGGTTGTATATATCTATTTTGAAGTTTATGAATAGTCTTTGGTTTTATCTGTCTAATTTGAAGATTAAGAATAGTGTTTGCTTGTATATGTCAATGAAGTTTAAGAATAGTCTTTGGTTGTGGATTGCTCTGTGATTGAGAAAAGACCGGTAATCCACTCTCTGTGTATCGAAAGTTACATAATATGCGACACCCGAGCTGATGATGTCGTAAACTGTTTCAAATATCGATACATAGAGGCTTGACCTCATGATTATATGTTAAGCTTGCTCATTCACGACATCAAATTCGCATCATCCGTACCGATCATGAGTGTCGCATATGTATGTTATACTACATTTGGATTTTGGCCTATTTGTATCGTATATCTGTCGGTGTATAGGAGACTGGCCTCGTCTTAGAACCGAATTTGATGCAACTCATAGATGACACCACCTTCGCCACCCCCGCATGCGCTATGCACGGTGCCTATATACATATAATATACGACCTTGCAATCTAACCATGTCGTAAATTCGACCGATGCACAGGAGGCTGACCTCGTGCGAGATCATGTGTTGAACTTCCTTATTGCCGACATCAAGCTCGCATCCCCCACATCAACCACGTGTGTCGCATTTGTACTGCTGGACGTAGGAGACCACAGCCCCGCGGCTATCACGGGCAGTGGGGAGTGCGCTGGAGATCGCATGGTGCTGGACTGCACCAACTACGCGGACGACTCCACCTGTCTGCGAACAATGTTGGATTTGGTGGTCCAGAGCATCGCTGCAGGTGACTGTGGCTCGAGCGAGGTAGGTAGAACGTATGGCGTCGAATGCGCTGCGTAGTACTGTTACGACATGTGCCCCACACCTTTCCCTGTGTATCTTGAGAGTTCTTTTAGAAATAGGAGCCGTTGGTATATTTGGAAAACTTCATGTTACAATATTGGGAAGGTTCTGTACAACCGCACACGTTCGGCCTTGGGACACACACGCAATACCAACACACCTGTGTGAGATGGGGTGTCAGGTAGTGGTTGGAGAAGACGAATGCGACGTATATTGTGCTTGGAAAGACGGTGGATAACAAGATGCGTAGTACTGTTTTCTGGGCGTTCTGTCAGGAGTATGTAGGTATATATATACAAGCATATATGAATGAACATATGTGCGTATATATT